TTCAATGAAATTAAAATTTTAAAAAAATTCAAAATTCAAAAAAGTTAAAAATATTTTTCAGAATAAACAGTGACCGATTTATAATTATTTATTGTGAATTGATTATTATTTATAAATGATTATTATGAAAATTAAAAAATAATAATATAATAATTAATTGTAATTAATTATGATTGATAATAATTCATTATAAATCAATACTTAGTTTATTAGTAATTATTATACCCCAAATAAATAAAATTAAATAGTCTATTCATTGGAATAAATGTTTCGAATTGAAGAAAATGTTTTTCCGTTCAAAAATATTTCCCCGACCTAATTATCGATTGTCCTATCTCCGAGGAGTTATCTACTTATCATAAGTTTATCAGCTGTCCCCCGACCACAAACTCCACAGCTGTGTATTCCCACTGAGGATAATCATCCCGTGGGCGAGATCTTCCCCACAAAGTTGTGCTTGAAGACGTGTAAAACCGGAATAATAATGAAAAACCGACGAACAATGGGTGAAACGAGAAAAGCTAGATTATGAGCTGCACAATACCTCGACAATTAGGGATGCAAATGACAGGGGGGTGGTTTGAAACTCCCTGACAGAGTCCTGCGAGAAGTTTTTCATCTTAAATACGAGAGGAGAGAAATGTGGCGATGCCGGGGGAGAACCATTAGCGCAGAAACAAAAAATTGCTTGAGAACCTGCGGAGTCTTCTTTTAAACCCAGAAATAGTCGTGAAGATGTTGCGAAAAAAAATCTCGGATATCTTGTGATTCATGAGTTTTGTAGTCTTAATATTCTTTGAAAAAGGGATAAATGGAGGGTATGGAGACAAAATATCTCCTCAAAAACATGAGTTTATGAGATTGTGGGATTGGACGGTATAAAAAGATTCATTTTTTATTTCGTTTTACGAATGGATGAGAATAAGGGGAATTGAAGAAAAAAATTAGAGATCTTTCTAATGATTTCATGATTTTTTTGTAGTGAGTTCATTGTATAGAATTTTTGAGAGATTAATTTTTTTTATGTTGTTTTTTCATCAAATTAGGAAAGATATTTTTTTATTTTATTCTTTGTTTTTAGTTTCATTTTTTCTCTTGATGTTATAAAATCCAAATCGACTTCTGGGGATAAAAATTTGGTACTTGAAATTAAGACGCTATAATTAAGGGTCACAAGGGTCAGGTTAAGGGTCTCGGGGGTCCGATTAAGGGTCGCGTTGTCAGATTACGGGTCACAAGGGTCGGATTAAGGGTCACGTGGTCAGATTAAATGTCGTGAGAGCCAGATTAAGGGCCCCGGGGTCAGATTAAGGGTCACAAGGTTCAGAATAAGGATTATGGGGGTCATATGTAGGTCATATGCAGGTTGGCGAGCGGAGCGAACAGGGGGCGTAGCCCCCTAGTATTATAGAATAGTCAAGTGTAGTTTTTTTATAGAGAATTGAAAATATTTTGTCTAAAATATAATTTATCTACAATTAAAAAAAAAATTGTCTCCGGGAGATTTTTCATTTCGTCGTAAAATGTGAAATTTAATCAAGTGTTGGCTTGAAAATTGAATAAACGTGTACATATCCAATGGAGAGTCGACTTCCGGTTCTTGGTTAGAGTCGACCAATCGCCGGACATCGCGGATTGAGCCATCACTGCTCGTTGTACATCTTCACAATAGTGTTCAATAATGAATTCTAAATTCCACTCTCGAATCAGCCGGGAGGAAGTAACGTAAATCATTGAGTAACACTTTTACTCGAATTCTCACTATTTGGTCGTTCACACTTGTATCGTTTGCACGCGGATGTTGGGAATTGACAGAGTGCACTTTAAATTCCATTGGCTATTTCACACTTTGTGACAGAGGGCATTTGCCATCAGGAAGTTGACAAACTCATGAGGGGGATATTTTCATAATGAAAATTTTTTTGCAATCGATTTTCTTCGAAAGATTCTATTTTTGTGAGTGAATAATGGAAATTGTTTGAATTTTGGAAAATGTTATTTTTTAAAGGAAATGAATTTTTAGTAAAAAATTGATTTCATTTAAATGTTTCAAAGTATTTTTTTAATTTTAAAAATTAATTGTTTAGAAACCATAAAAGAAGGTCTTAATCTTCTGAAATTGCAATTTTTAGTTGTTTTATAAAATTTGGTTGTAAAATCGATTTTAATTTTTTTTAGATTTAAATTTTTTTTAGATTTTTTAGATTTTTTCTTAGATTTTTTTTTAGAATATTTTCCATTGAAAAAAAATTCGCAGAATCACCCAAAAACAGTAGAAAATACAGCAGAATTTCCTGTCGGATTCGCTGGGTTTTTCTATAAAATTTTTCATGCGTGTTTCTCCCCCAACATTTTCTTCCCAGAAAAAATGAAAAGAGCCAAAGACACCGTAGTATCATTCCAAGAATATTAAATCCCCTCATCTCCATAGCCGTACGGAAGAAAAAAAATGATGAATTCAAAACGCGGGTCACGTACGGGAGTTATACCAAGCGATCCGATTATCCACCGGAAGTATCATCATAACCCGGTGTATCACCATCTAAGGATGTACGTTGATTTCGTAACAGTTTGATCTATTGAATCTAAAGTACACATCTGGCATTCAAACAATAATAACCACCTATATTTAGAGAATATCGCGGGACCGTGAGGTGTAAACAGAATTCTCGAAAATTCTGTTCACGATTTTTCCCTCGACATTCAGCCGGATGCGCTCCACGTCTGTTTCAACCAGTGGGATGTGAACCCTCGACTCTGTATATGCGGGGGAAAAACACGTGGCACCGTTGGTATAAGCTATGGCACACGCTTCAACTTTCCTCCGAGGAGTTGGGGGTCTTTACTTCAGTTGCAGTTGTAAGTTAAAATGAGAGAGGAGAATTGGAGAAAGGAGTAAGACCGGAAGCGTCAAGGTTTATAAAACCCATGGGGCGCACGTGCAACTGGTTTATGGGTATTGGAACCTGCCACTGCTTCCGGTGGGAACAGTAAACTTTAAGGATAGGCAAGTAACTTTTGTGGTTTTAAATCGGGGAATTCGTGAAGTGAATTTTTGGAGAAAATGGGAATATTGTGGGTAATTGGGGTCGTTTACATCAGCTTTCTGCGAAGGATTCCTTTGGTTTTAAACATTGTTTGTTTATTTATGAGTGAAGACGACTTTTTTATGATTTTTAAAAGATGATTTTGGGGGAATTTGATTTTTTGGGAATTATTTGTGAGAAGAGGCGTCATTTTTAAAAAATTGAACTTTCCAAGTATTTTATGAATCTTTTCAAAAGGTAGAATTTTTTATTTTTTCAGACTTCTTAACAAATAAAGGAGAGAATTGAGATCTTCGAAGTTCAAATAAAAAAATAAAAAAATGGACTTGAAAATCGTATTTCATAGAATTTTAGGAGAAAAATAGAAAAAAAAATCATGGACAATTTACGTCATTAGAATTGTTTCTTTACAAAGAATTCTTTTGTTCTTTGACGTTATTTCTTATCAATAAATAATGGAAATTTTTTCAACTTCCATAAAAGTAATTTTTGGTATGAAATAGATTTATAAAAAATACCGAATAAAATTCTGCCTAAATACAATTTTTTCAGAAAACAATTTACAATTTTGTCGTCGTCTTTTAAAAACGAGAATTTCTAATTTTTTCAGATATTTGAAATGTCTTGCAACGAAAAAAAAAATAAGAAGAAAATCAAAACCTTTAAAGTTTAAATAATGAAAACTTGAAAATTGACTCGAAAATCGTGTTCCGTGGAATTAATAAAGAAATCTTCTGTTCATCCGTTCACAAACTAAATTAGTTTCCCTATAAAATTCGTAAATCAGTGCGGGCGATGGGTATTTCGGAATCGTGGGAAAGTGGTAAGAAAAAAAAACACATGGGACAGTAGTGGGTCACAATAAGTGCCTCTAGGACGTGTGCCACTTGGTAATACCCAGGGATTAGTTTAGTGAGGGGTTCAGGCGCTCATGAGGGTCCATCATTGGATGCAATATGCCAACATAATCGAGCTTAGTACGGAGACAGGGTCTCCCTCCTTCACGTGTTGATAATTCTGAACTAATGAAGCAGAAGATTTTTATTTATTCGAAGTGTCGAAACGTATTCACCTTACATAAAATGAAATTCAATTCGATTTCAGACAGAAAAATGGAGGAAAAAATTGCGAAGCACAGTCAATTTCCTAATATCATGTCCAACATTGTGGGTATTCCGAGTCCAATAATTATCAAATCTATTGACAAATCCCTTAAAGACTGTGAACTGACAATATAATTAGGCCTAAGAATATTCAACTTATATATTTATATATATAAATAAAAAAAACATATGGAAGTATATCCCTTGTAAATACCATTTAACAGATAATAGACCTCGCGTTGACACCTCTAATGCTCAAATAGAAAAAAAACCTTTTTAATCATCAAATTCGTTAATTAAATAATTTTTTTAGGCACGAAAGCGATCTCAGGTAAAGAATATGAATATGAATAAATTTGCTACGATTCCGAACAAATGATTTTTATGGTGGAAAATTGATTCTTTACAAATTATTCATAGAAAAGAGGAAATATTTCAAAGATTGTATCCAAAATAAGCGCATGTTAGTGGATGCGTTCGGTGCATTTTGTCCCCTCCATTACAAAATAACAAACGTGGGTTTGGATTGAAATTGTTATCAAAATAAAGCGAACAACTTCATCTCTCAGTAGAAAAAAAATCAATTCAGTAGCGAAGTGGTCAAACGGTTTGTCATTGTAGTCTTCAGTTGAGTTTTCCAGAAATATTTCCGAATTTAAGGGAGATAGCGAACTTTTCATAATAACCTTTTTTGTAGAGCGAATTGAGTGCTGCTAAAAAGGTTCTGAGAAAAATTGTACTATCTCCCTTAGATTTCGAGATATTCACTGAAAACTGGCCAATATCAAAGACCGACTTAAACCGTTTGACCACGTCGATCCTTAATAATTCGTCCTTCTCCCCGACTAACCTTGCCTCGAGCTCTTATGTCTCCTGCACTTCCTCCCGGCGGGTGCCCTCCCGTCGACCTGATCGGTGGGAATAGGCGGTGCGAAGCCCTCGGGCTCCTTGATAAAGCCCTCCGTCTGAATGATCCTCCTGCGCTGCCCGCCGCCCTCCTCCTTCTCGAGAAAAGTCCCGATGGAGTGTCTCCGCGTCCCGGAGGTCCCAGGAGCCGGCAGAGTCGCCGACAAATTGTAGTACCTCACGTCGTCCAGCCCGAGGAAGACCTCCCCATCCTCGTCATCGCCCCCTCGCCCCGGCGAGCCCTCCTCGCCAGGAAGTCCGCAGAAAACCATGTCATCCGACAGCAACTCACTCGCGGATTTCAGGATTCTCCTCCTGTTGGGCCGCCGCCGGTCGTGATCCGAGTGGGAGTGCGACCTGTGCGGCAGATGCGGCGACGGGGGTGCAATGTCCGTCGGTCTCGGCTCACCTTTCAGTATCTGGAGGGTCTCATTATCCGCGTGTGCGCTCATCGACCTCGATAAACCGCGGAAACTCCTCCGCTGGCAATTGCCGGAGTTCGCCGATCTCGTCAGCATCGGCTGGGACTCCTCGACGGATTCAATGCTCCTGTGGTGTGTCGACGTGCTACCAGTTGAACTAGACATAATCGACGCTGAGGACACCGATCCCATTTTATTCTGACGCTTGCGAAAAAATGCCGCGAAGCCACGAGCGTTCGATGGTCCTGGAGATTGTATCGAACCTCCGGACAGGGAAAAGTAGGACGGATTGTCTGTGAACATAAGGTTTACCGCGTTTCACTCATTGTCGGGGAGAAAGAGGGATTGGAGATTTTTTTGGGGGTTTCGGGTGGTTCTTGGGGGCCACTGGGGTCTGCAGGCGGTGGAGGGCCAACGTGGACTAGTGTCGAGTGGGATCGAAGGGTCTTCCATCGCCTGGTGGCGGCATGGGGGTATTTTACGCTGCAGGGAATACGGGATGAGACGGGAAAGGTGGGGATGACACCGGACGCTGCATTTCCCATCCCCCCCGTTGCCCCGCTGTTTCTTGGGGGGAGGGGGGCGGCGATGACAGCCTGAGAAATTCGATGACAGGTTTTTTTCGGGATTTTTTTAATTTGGGGGGCACAGGCGCATTCGGAGGAATTTTATTGACGGATTTTAATTGAATAGAATTTTGGAAGTTTCATTTTTGGGTTCATTTCGATAGCACTTGGGGGAGATCCAGAAACTCGTGGATTTTTTTGAATTATAATGTTTTAATTCAGTAGCGAAATGGGAAGATAGCGAAATTTTCGTGATTACATTTGTCTACAACATGAAATGAAACATTTGAATTGATAAAAAATCATTGAACATTCAAATGTGTAATTCTCCTTTATCTCGTGGTAAAATTGGCTTGAAAAACCTCAACATTCTTTGAATAACTGAAACAATGAACAAATAAATGAATCTCTCATAAACAATTTTTTAAATTCAAGATAAACTATAAAAAAACAAAATCCAAATCCAAACATCATTTTCCCACCATAAAAAGCCGAATCAAACACTTTTTCCCAGACAACCCGAAAAAATTTCTCATATCATCAACGAAATCCAGTGAAATATTCCGAATGCACAACCGAGACCATAAAAAAATGAATAAAACAATCAACAGGTAGTTCTCCACAGTAGCCAATCGAATAATGGGAAGGGCCTCACAATCTTCTCTCTCATCCGCCGTGAGCGTGATCGGCATTTATACGAAGATATTTTTTCTTCAATTCGAAATACGTGGGTGAGGATTTCATTCTGAGAGGGTCATGTCGACTTACCGAGTGCCATTATGATGCTAGAGCCTCAGCCGTGATTTTCTTCCTGCAATAAAAGGGAACGAGATGAATAAATAGATCGAAGGGTAATTGCGCACGATCGGGATATTTCGAAATAGTGACAGCGCGATGAATTTCACCCGGGAATGTCTCAGTAACCAGTGGAATTGGCAAAGGGGTTATCTGGTTAGTCGATTCATCGGATCTTTCATTCATATCTGGAAATAGAATCTTAATATTAAATTTAGCTGGACTCGAGAGAGTGTCGCATGGGCTCTGGCATCCACATCTAGATTTGATCTAGTCCATTCACGTTTGGCAACATTCGCTGTTTTCTCTATTTTCACTTCCCCATTCATTTTTGGAATCAATTTCGCGGAATTTAGTGCTCTTAATTCATGTTGTTGCGGTAATTTGAGTTAATTTGCAGTTTTTCTGGGATTGGTTCATTTTTTAGGGGAAATTTTGGTTTTATGTAGATTAATTCGGGATATGAACGACAAAATTTCATAGGAAAACTGGCGACTTCGGGAGAAAATTCTATTGAAATTGCACATTTTTAAAGATAATGTCTCATAAAAATTATTATGAAGAAAAAATTCGAGGAATTCCATCTGTTTATGTAACTTTTTCTATGTAACTTAACTCCAATCAATTTTTGTGTTTAAAAAAAAATCCTATAGAAAATATGGCAATCGCAATTTCATAGAAAATTCTATTGGTCTTGTGCATTTTTTAAAGAAAATGTCCAATAGAAACTATTCTATAGAAAAAAATGGTGGAATTTCCTCGTTCTATGCAACTTTTTCTATTGAGATATTTTCTGTAAGAATTTTCCCACACGAATTTTCTAAATTTCTTCCACTCAATTTTTATTTTATTTTCATGCAAAAAAATTCTATGGAAAATATCTCAACAGAATAACTTATTATCTTATAGAAAAGTCAAGATCTATGGATTTTTTCTGTAGATATTTCCCATTGCACATTTCTATTGAATAAAAAAATCCACTAGAATTTTTTTTACGATTTTTTTTCGTCCGCAGTTAATACAAAAGAATTGTGTTTATTGGGTTGATTCCTCTCTCCGAAATAACGAAGCATGCAAATGTGCAACTGTTCCTCGAATTGTCGGATGCGTTAAAGAATGTAAGTTGCACCGGCCGATGAAAGGACGCGCACACGTAGGACAGAGAACCAACCGCTATTTTTGTATCAAAACATTCTGTCTCTGTTCACATCACCTCGCGCAGAATTTAATCGTTCTCATGAATGCAAATTATTTTTAGGGATTGTGGAATTCCATCAGGGGAAATTGAATCAATCATTGGGAGGTGCTCTGCCTCGCGGGGTGATTTTTCGGTTTTGCTTTTATTTTTTTCGTGTCTCGTGATTTTTACCGCGTGTTCAGTTGTGATATTCGGGTGGAAACTCGAATTTTTTATATCTTGTTGAAGATTGATTTATTCTGTGGGAATATCCGTGAGGCTTGAATTTATTACTCTGGGGATATCACATGTGGGTTCTGTCACATCGAGTGAAGGTGACACAGGGAATATATAATTTATTTTTCTGATGGATAGTTTTTACTTGTGTTTTTTAACTGAGATTTATCATAGGGGTTCCTCAGAATTCTAAGGATTCATGAATTTTCAGACAGGATTTTTCTGGATAATTTTGGGGGATTGCAGGTAAATTATGTTGACTTCTCTGGGAAAAAAAGAACTGATTGCGAATGTTTAAACAGAAGGAATTATCGTACTTCGTCATGAAATTACAAAAAAAATCGTATTTCTTATTAAAATCCAAAAATTAATTAACTTGCTTTTTTAGTCTGTAACTGCAAAAAATGAAACAAAAATGCTCAATAATTTACGAAAACTTTGAAGTTTCTTCACCAAAATTCATCTATTCCCCCCTATTAAAAAATTTATTTAAAAAAATATATAATATGGGCCAATTCCATAAATTTGTCAAATTTATAAAGAATTAATAAAAAATATACATAAAACATATATTTCATATATTTTTTTAATATAAATTGGGCCAATAAAATAATTTAAGATATTTTTAAATATATTTTTCGAAATATAAATTTTTCCATGTGGGCCCCAACAACAGTCTAATAATTTCCCTCATCAAACCATTAAAAAAAATTGAAATTAAAATGGAAAAAAAAATTTTAACTGAAAAAGCTGTTGAATGAGAGGAACAACCAGATGTATTTTCCGTTTTTTTCTCTGAATTTTCCATGTGTTCTTGAAAATCCTCCGCACGTGCGGCCAATCGTTCCCCCCCCAAAACGGATACTGAGGGGCGAAAATGCCCGGGGGAGCCGGGGTGGAGAGGAAATTTCCTGACATCCGGAGACGAAGCGAGCGAGAGGCTCTGACCCCGAGAACTCGTCGAAGTTAATTCGCTACATGCATGAAACCACACCTGCACTCCCACCTACGACGTGCAAGTGCAACACGCCAACTTCCGGTGCAACGCGTGCCCTTATTATTACTTTATATGCGCACGCGTTATGCCCCCGTGACTTCCTTGCCACTACTTGAACCCAGACCAATAAAGGTAGGCTAAGTAAAGATTGTGCGTCTTATACTTTCAAGAAAACAAGTACTGAGTCTATTTTCGGATTTTCAATTTGCAATGCAATATTTAATATCGACGAAAATGATTAAAACTCGATATAAATTGGGAATTACTGAATAACTGAAGAATTTGGATTTTAAAAATTCTTCAATTTACAAAATTTGTTGTTATTTTTTTAATTAAAAAATTTGAATGTTGAAAAGGGTAATTTTTCACAAAATGTAATCGACTCTAATATTGTTGAATTCGCAAAATGTCCTCAAGTCATTTAATTGATAGACTAGGGGATTAAAAATATTATATTGTTGATTAAAAAAAATTATACTGATTTTGTGACTAAAATATGCGAAAAAAGATTGAAATTTTATGGCTAATGGATCAGTAATATTTAGGATTGGCATTGAAAAATAAAATAAATAAAATTTCAATTTTGTCTGAAGGTTCAAATTTTTGAGCACAAAAGCGCCGAAAATTCGCCAACTTGCTTGAATTTTCGATGAAAATATGAATATTCAGTACTTAATTTCCCTAAATTTTCTATGAATAAAAAATTAAAGACTATTTTCACCTCTTCTTCTAAATTTCTATTGATGCTCATTCATTATCGAACAAAAATTTACAGTTTCCATTCATTTTTTCGTGAAATTATAAAATTTTAATGTTGAAATTCCCTGAAATTCCAATGAACCGAATTTTTTTTCTCAAGGGCAGTCGTAAAATCTCTAAAAATAAAATATCACGACCTACTCCACCTCTAGCTGTTACAATTATTCCCATTTAATTCATTTTCAACACTGAAATTTACAAAAATTCAGAATTCTCCTCATTCTTCCCCTTAAATCCGGAGTTCAAATGAATAAAAAGAGAATGACCTCATCAAATACAGAATAGGTGTCGCAAATGGCCCCAATTGCCCATGTGGTCCAGAACCCCAAGACTTTAATCACTTTAATATTTTTTTCGAGTATTCATGTATTTCACGAAAGAAATCCCCTGATGAGCACTTCCCCGGGAGTCGAAACGTTTTGATAATTCAGGCGTTGAGAAATTATTCATTAATTTTAACGACTCTAAAATTCCTGAGGACCGCTTAGACGATTTCTAGAACACCAACAATCGTAGAAGAAAATTCCTCTACAGTACAAAAAAATTTGTAGAAGCAACTGACTTTGAATATGTCCAGCAGGTTTGTAATTTTCTAAAAGAATGTAATGTTAGAGTTGACAACTAAAAAAAATAAAAAATGAAAGTAACTAAACAACAACAAATTTATAACTAAACTAAAACTGCAAAAAATCAAAATCCAATGTAATATCTTAAACCGACAATTCTAATGTTATGAAAACAAACGGCACTGTAAAAAATTCAAATTAACGTTTGAGCACTTCAACCAACAATTTAAAAAAATCTCAACAAATTCGTCAATTGCCCTCTGAATTCCCCTCAACCCATCCTCCACGAGAACATATTTCACCTCATTTCCTCCCCCTTACGTAATTACCCCGACCAGTGAAAAATGGTGTAATCCCCTAACTCATTTTCCCCAATTGAGTTATCCAATTCAATCACCAATTGACACATAAAGTCCGCGATCCCCACGCGAATCTCACTGCAATTCCCCCGAATCCTCAATTCCTCCAGCATTCAATTCCTCTCTTGCGCAATAATCCGAGCGATTAGGTACGAACTCGAGTTCATGGATTAAACGAGAAGGAGGCTTGGCTCCTCCTGGCACCGACGAATGTGATAACAATTGAAAATTCCCCCCCCCCCTCCCCCGCAGTTATTCCTATTGTCTCCCCCCAGTCCCAGTAAATACGAGATAAAGAACTCAAAGTCTCGGCAGCAGCACTGACTCCCCTGTTTACTAAAAAATCCCCAAGTTTTATATATTTTTTCTCATTTACTCGCCAGAACCCTCTCGCATTGGTAAAGGCGTCTGGTTACGTTCGGCTGTCAGTTTTGGTCTATTAATACCCAGTGTGCGAGAGGCCTTGCGCTCTCACGTTCCTTGAATACACACGAACATTAAAACTTGTAGCTTAAGCACTAATCAATATCATTTTACCAAGAATTTTTCATTTTTTCCTATGAAAATTCAGCGAGAAACTGATTGCGCGCAAAATAAATTGCGAAAACAAACTAAATGGAAGAATAATAGAACAATTCCATAGTAATTTAATAATTTTGATTCATTTGTTAATAATGGAGACGATTTAACTTGAATTTTATTTTTATTCGTTCGTAAAAAATGAGAACTCGAAAATGAAGGGGTGAAATGCCTCGGGGAACGTGATTAACGCAAAAACATGGATTTGACGTGCATGTCCCAGTGGAGAATCGGGAGAGCGCATGCAAATTCAAACTCACCTGTCGGTTTCAGACGCTCATGTGAACCCGAGCATTTCCGTTCCGATAGTGTTCACCACCGGCATTCACCATTGTCAACGTGAAATGCGCGGAGAAGATGATTTGTGATCAATCACAACACTCAACTTTAATTTAGTAACTCTAATTTGTGTTATTCACTGTGCAGTAGCGGCACACACGTTGGCGCACACTGAACAACACTGAATAAACTGACAGACGGAAGAAGGAAAGGAAGCCGAAGGGGAGAGAGCCCCAGTGAGCATGTGAGCGTGTTTAGTTCTCTTTTCCTCCTCTTTAGGTCTTTCTTTTGCTACCTCTACTTCTTCTTCTTCTTCATGGTGGACCCCCTAAGCTTCACGAACTAACGAGCCGGAGGGAGAGAGGGAGAGAGAGAGAGAGAGAGAGAGAGGGAGTGAGGAGCTCATGCGGTAGTCACGGTAAAGTGTGCCCACCCATTCACCCACGCATCTGGCTGAACTGATGTCTACGCACCGCCCAGTCCGTGACAACGGTGGGCCTGGTGGTGGACCGGGGAGTAACGGTGATGTTGATCACGGGGATTTCCATTATCGGGGGTTCACGCGCTTGGGATTCGGCGGGAGAGGTGGACTGCCGTGTTTATGGGGTGCCGGAGGGTATTAGAGAGGGTGAACATTTAATATCGAACGGGAAATGTTGAGTGCTGAATATTCAACATTCAACATTGGATGGTCAATATGCAACATTCAGCATTCAGCATTGGACACTGAGCATGCATTGCGGAATATTTAATAGTCAGCAGTTACCATTCGACATCGGATATCTAACATCTATCGGTGAAAATTCAACATTCGGCACTGAATATTGCAACATCCAGCATTCACCATTCAATATTCACTATTCAACATGCAGCGTTGAATATTAAATATTGGACATTGAACATTCAACATTAAATATTGAGCATTGAATATTCAACATCCAGCATTCACCGGTCAATATTTAATTATTTCAACATTGGACATTAAACATTTATCATCCAACATTCAACATGGACCATTCAATATTCAGCATTGAACACGGAATATTAATATTCCACATTCACCATTCAACATTAAACATTCAATATTCAACATTCACCATTGAATATCAAACATTGGACATTGAGTATTTATCATTCAAAATTCAACATTCACCATTCAACATTAAATATTGAACATTGAATATTCAACATCCAGCATTGAACACTGAACTTTCATCATTGAACACTGAATATTAATATTCGACATTCACCATTTAATATTGAACATTGAATATTCAACATCCAACATTCACCATTCAGCATTGAACATTCAACATTCAACATCCAACATTCACCGGAAATCGATTTCATAACAACAGAAACAAGCGGGAAAGTATCTAGAATGTACAAAATTTGAGAATGACCAGAGCTAAAAATCACATGTTCATAGTTCGACCATCGGGCGCCTGCAGTCATAGTCAAACCCAAACGCATTGTCCTGCAATGTCTGTCAAACACGTGTCCCATGTGTTGGCAGTGGGGGTGACCCGCGCATCAAACGTCGCCCTTGGCGCTCAGTAAAACTGCATCACAAGGCATGTTTGCCCATCAACTCTGCTGCAACCAGTGGAGAAATCTCCAAAAATTGAATGCATTGAAACCCACGGTTTCATTCCCTTTTTACAAATATTCATCTTGGACATAGGATATGTTGAGAATAAATTAATTACTGAATTTTTTGTTACTCATTGATGAATAATTCGTTATTAAGTTATTCATTAGTTTTTTAATTCTCGAATTTTTTTGAAAAATCGGCTGTCCCACAATAGCTAAAAAAAATGTTCTGAATTGATTGAATGGTGGCTTCAACGGTGGATTACTGATACCTCAATAATATTATTAAAAAAATTCTCTATCAGCGAATCGTCGGATTAATCCCAATAAAAAAACGCTGAAAAAACGCTACCGATGAGCCTGAAAAATCCCCAGCCCAGCCATCAAACCGAGAGCGTTCCAATTACCGTTTTCAATTGCTTGCGAACGGACGTTTCATCGACCTTCCACGGCCAATTGAACGTCGATTCCACAATTCCCGCATGAAGCCCCCCACCAGGTCCCCCATCGCGGCCACCGCGAGTGTTTCTAAGAAAATATCCAGACGATACCAGCCGCGATCTCTCGGTCCCGAGGTCTCCGCTGTCATACCCAAGTGAAAGTCACGTGTATGTAGTTCAAGTGTCCCCACATCCCCGCACCCAACCGAAAACCGACTAGAAATCCTCGTGAATTAACGGGAAAATTGAAAACAATAGTGGAAAAACCCAGCGCTGAATTGTCACAGTCTCCCCTTCATTACTCTTCTGACGTAAAATAGTGAATGTATATGACTGGTTGAATACAGTATCACTGCGCAGCTACAGGATTTAACGACTGACCAGGAGTGCGCTCGCGCGGGACGACGGATTTCCCGGGGAATAGGGACTTTCCGGGCCTCGGAGCGGCTTTTTGTCATCATTCGCGTCAACACTACGGACCTATACGCGCGCTCAAGGCAACAGGTGAAAAACAATAGTGAATTTGAACATAAACTCGAGTTTCGTGAAGTTGAAATCATCGGAGTGTTGGGAAAACAAATTAAAAATTCCAAAATTCCAAAATTTGGTTTTTAAATTTCCGAAAACTAGAGCTTTTTACTTCGGAATTTCGACGTTTGGGGGTAAAATGAGTGTTGAAGACGCTATCAATTATAAGCGGAGCGACGACGAGGACTTTTACGCCCTCCTGGGGTGCGACGAATCCTCCAGTGTGAGTAGAATTATTTTTTATGGATTTTTATTGAGCGCGATTGAATCGCCTCAGGGCTTTTCACGTTTGCAGTCTCGATGTAACGAGAGCTAATTGCAATTAATCCGATTGGATTGTTCTCAAGGTTGAGCAAATAACCGCTGAGTACAAAACGCTAGCGCTCCAGTATCATCCTGACAAGAATGAGGGTAACAAGGAGGCAGAGGCCAAATTTCAGCAGCTCAAGGTAATGACGTGTATCACTGCTGTTACGGCGTAATCACGTCGTTTTGATTGTCGTTCATTTAACTGGGGAGGTTAATGTTTATGACTGGTTTTATTTTAATCGCAGAATGCTAAGGAGATACTCTGTGACCCGGAGAAGAGAAGTAACTATGATAAATGGCGACGCAGTGGGGTTGCTATAAGTTATAAGCAGTGGGTCGGCATGAAAGAGCATGTACATCAGGTCAGATTTGACGTTTTTATGTTAATTGACATTTTTGTTTTTGAGGGGGAATTGGAGTGGCAGTTTTTTTACTTTCAGTTTGGGGGACGTTGGAGTTTTGGGGGGGACTTGGGGTCATTTTCAGGGAGTGACGGGAATTTTAGTGCGGGGGAAAGGGCTTGGAAATTTCAAATTTTTTCGGAACATTTAGGGGAATTGTGAATTTTTTAATGAAAATTCGAGGGAACGTGAAACGACAAGCCACTCGAATTTTCGAGTAATTTGGGAATAAAGTCATGATTTTTTGGATTTAATTGATTTCCAGAGGGTAATGGAATGAAATTCCAAGTTTTCAGGCATTTTTTCATGAAATTGTGAATTTTCAATTTAAGGATTTTGGGTTTTTATGAAAGTTTGGGGGAATTACAAATTTTTAAGCAACATAAAACCTGAAGTTATTTTAATTTTCCATTAATTTGAGAATAAAACCATGAATTTATTTGATTTTATAATTGATTTTCCCAGAATAATTGAACAAAAATTTGCAGTTTTCAATCATTTTTTCATGAATAATTTTACAATCGAAAAAATTGTGAATTCAAGAACGAAACAGTTCTGAATTCAAGAAGTAAAATTAATTGAAGCAAAATTCTAGATTTCACAAAAAATTACTGCCAATTGGAACCTTTTCTTCATATTTATAAAGGAAATGTCCCTAGAGTAAGTGGAAATATTCTGGAATTCAGAGATTTTTACTAAAAATCGTTTTCTCCCCAATTTAAAAGATATTCCCCAACGATTAAAAATTGAGGATTAAATTTAAACCTTTGAACTTTGAATAATAAAATCACCGCAAAACGTTTGGTGACCCGCAGTCGAACGGAGTTTAAATGACAGCTCTGACATTCAACTGCAAACATATTCCGGAGAATCTCATGAAAAAAATGGCCAAAGCACTTCGAGATTAACTTTACAGCCGAAAAATTCGTGAAAAATTAATTGAAGTAAAATTATCTTACATTTCTTAAAAAATTATTGAGGCTTAGACCCTTTTCCTCATATTTTTAAGGGAAATGTTTTCGAGAGAAGTTTCTTCCTCTTCCCTCAGACATTGAAACCCCTGAAACCGCCTTCATTTTCCCAAACGATCGAGCAATAAATCCCGAGTTAACGTAAAAACATTTGCTCACAGTCGATGCACTGGAGCACACCAAAGACCAAGGATAGGATGCTACCGGATGCAAGTGGTCCCGGTGGATCTCCAGGTCACGTAAGAGGCCAGCCATCAGCGAATGCACACCGTCGTGCCTCGGAGGGTGGTGTCAATATCCATTACGGCGCACGTCGCGATGTCAACTGGGACTCGCAGGCGTCCAGCGAGGTGGTCAACAAATTCCGTAACTACGAGATCTAAGGTAGCCGGATTGGGTAGTTTGAGTCACAATCAGTCGAGTTGCGGTCCCCCTGTTTTCCTCGAAAAAATAAAGCCCACGTAACTGACCGCTCGTCACGGGACAAAAGTAAATCGATACCCAGAGAAATGGCGCATTTGATTAAAAGAAAAAAATGTTTTTTATTTTTCCTATTCATTTAAACAACATTTTCACGTATTCATTCTTATCAAAATGTTTTGATCATGTGAAATGAACGATTTAATTGATCAAATAAATGATCACTACATATCAAAAAGAAATTTCTCTAGTTTTAAAAAATATTTACTGTATTCAAATGAAGAATTACTCTGGGTCTAGACAAAAAGACTCATTCCACGTGAACAATACCTCAAAAACCTGGAAATACATAATCACTTTTGGTTGCGGTCCCCCTATTTTCCTAAAAAAAAGCCCACGTAACCGATCGCTCGTCACGGGACGCAAGTAAATCGATACCCAGAGAAATGGCGCATTTGATTAAAAGAAAAAAATGTTTTTTATTTTTCCTATTCATTTAAACAACATTCTCCCGTATTCATTCTTATCAAAATGTTTTGATCATGTGAAATGAACGATTTAATTGATAAAAGTAAATGATTGTTAAACGTCGAAAAGAATTTTCTCTATTTTTAAAACTATTTATTTTAGTCGAATGACGAATTACTCTGGGTCTAGAGGAAAAAGATGAAAAAAGCCAAGTTAATTAGGGATAAAAATAAATCGATACCCAAAGAAATGGCGCATTTGATTAAATGACAAAACGCTTTTCTATTTTTCTCATTCACTTCAACAATATTTTCGTCGGAAATTGATACAGTCACATGTTCATTCTGACAAAAATATTTTAATCGTGCGAAATGAACGATTTATTTGATCTAAATGAAGAATTATTACAAATAAAAAAGACATTTCTCTACTTTTCAAAATTATTTATTTTATTCGAATGAACAATTTCTCTGGGTCTCGACGAAAAAATTCATTCCACGTGAGCCATTCCCCGACAAGATGAAAATACATAATCACTCTCTTCGCTGTCAAATTAACGAGATGTATGAAGATATTTAAGAATGGATTTAACAGAGTTATTAGGACGGTGTCTAATCGTTGTATTCTATTAAAGAGTTTAAAGAAGAAAGTTATATATGAATATATCACGATATTTATCTGTAAATCGGATCAGACGGGCGTGTAATCCATAGTAAGAGTGCGTGGGGAGGGTGTGTTGAATATTTTTCCTGGGTTGTCTTGTTATCGTGCATGTGTCCTCATTTTTTTCCTCGGGTGCCTCTAGGAGACTGGAAGTCTCAGTCGTATTCTCTCGCGCGAAATGAGATGGGGAGGGGGGGGGGCTCCTGAGGTTATAATCCAATTCCAACGCCTCGG